GAATGAGGTCACACGGGCAGATGGTAACTCAGGCACAGTGTAGGGATGGTGTGAGCACTGAATGAGCTGATGCGGGCACACCGTGGGCGCAGGTTGAACACCCAATGGGAAAACACAGTGTGCCGTGGGCACGCTGTCACAGAAACAGGTACCTTGGTGCAGGAGCAGGGAGGGTGCCAAGATTAATGGAGGTGGCACAGGCACACAGCAGGCACGGGGGAGGGGGGGGATGAGTGGGGTGGCAAGGGCACACCTTCAAGACCCGGTGAGGCCTGGTGTGAGGACCAAGCGAGGTAACGCAGGCACACCGTAGAGACACCCTGGGGACTGAAGAGCGAATGCCAGCATACAGTGGGCATTCTGTCCGGGTGGCTTTTGAGTGAGAAGGATTATGATTATGATTAGGATTAGGATTCAGAACTCAAAATGTCACAGAGACCTTTGAGGCTGTGAATCTAGATGCCTGGGAAAAATCAAGTGATTTTAATAAACCTGCTTGCAGCTAGTTTACATTTCTGAAGCACAGTGCGTGGTGCCGACAGACTCTCTTCTGCCAGCCTGGGGTTGCGGTCACCCTGGGACCCAGGGCTTCAAGCTGCCCACCCACAATGGTTTCCACTCATAGTAGAAGTGTGTCATTCAGGACTGTCCTCCTGAGAGCACCATCCCCGGCCCCCATCCCCACCCCCAGGTTCCCAGAAGCCTTCTGCAAATGCCACCCACGCATCCATGACCAAGTGCTACGCACCCCATGAGACCCCGGTCAGCAGCACCCCATGAGAGAAGTACATGTATGTGCCCACTGTACGGATGAACAAACCAAGCCTCTGAGGGCCCAGACTCGTGCCCACAGTCTGCCAGCCACGGAGTCTCCCTGCGAGGCTTTGAAGAGAGACTCCCGGGCATCAGCATGACTTGACATTGTCTGCTGGGCGTGCTGTCCCAACTCACACGCCCCCAAATCCCTCTGCAGGCTCCAGGCAGGCTGGTCCGTCCACCCGAGTGGCCAGCCCGACCGACAGAGGAAGCAGGAGGAACTGACGGACGAGGAGAAGGAAATCATCAACAGGGTCATCGCACGAGCGGAGAAGATGGAAGAGATGGAGCAGGAGCGGATCGGGTGAGGCCCCCACTCATTCTGAGAGTCGCTGGCGCCCCAGAGGACCTGACAGAAGGGGTGCTGCATGAGTGGCGGGGAGGTGCTGGGGAGGGCACCCCTGTCTTTGGGATTTGCCGTCTGTGGAGTGCCAGGCCACCCACCCAGGCAGAACTGGAAGCTTCATCTAAAGAGACCAGAGAGCAGAGGGGAGCATGGATCAAGGCTGGCTGGACGGGGGGCTTATTTGCCAGGAGGACCGAAAGAAGGAGATGGGGAGGAATCTTCTGAAAGGACAAGGGGGGTTGTCCTCGTAGGATGGGGAGGTGACATCCTCTGTCAGAGTTCATGAACGCTTCTCAAAAGTACGTTCTAGAAACACGGGCCATGGAGATGCTGGAATGTGAGCAGGAGGAGAGAGTGCAGGAGAGGACCTTTTAGGTTCTCCACCTTCCTCATGCTGCGGCCCTTTCAGACAGTTCCTCACGTGGTGGGGACCCCCCAACCATAAAATTATTTCCGTTGCTACTTCATCACTGTCATTTTGCTACTGTGATGAATTGGGTGAACCCTGTGAAAGGGTCGTTTGACCCCCAAAGGGGTCGTGACCCACAAGTTGAGAACCGCTGTTCTAAAGGTGCTGGGGAAACCCATCCCCTTCGGGGGCCGGCAGCCGGTGAGTGAGCCAGCCCAGGCTGACCCAGTGGCTGCTGACTGAGCTCCGCCCAGCCCCCCACTTGCCTTCTGGGGCTCCAGGGACATCACTTCCCCCCTCTGAGCCTCCCTTCGCTCCCTGGCAGAGAGGGGACAAGGACAGGGCCTACCCCACAGCGTCCTGCTGAGGATTTAGGGAGATGCTGAATGTACTGGCAATAGTCAGTGTTTTCTACGGGGCAGGAAGGAGGGGAGCCAGGGTGATGAGAAAGCTGTGTCGTGTGTGT